AGTATCTTCACTTACTGAAAAGCAGAAAGAGTTGGGGGAGATGGTTTTGAAGTTTTCTGTGGTTGTTATGAGACATTGCTCATTGCTCTACAGCTGCTCTCTGGAGTTGAGGTATGGCTACTGTTAGAGATTCCTAGGTAGACAACTGATTTTCTTGGCATTCAGATTTGGTTAAAAGTTACGCAGTTCTCACTTGCAAAATTTATGAGCAGCTGAACCCCAAGAGAATGAAATGAAATCTGCCTCCAAATGTTCATACAGCATGCCAGATCATGTCTTCCTACAGCAATGAAACCTCATCATGACATGAACTTCTTACTGCCATCCGAAAACTTATTTAGTTCAAGTTTTAAAGATACATGCTTTTGAGTGTGACAATCCTGAGATCTCATAGTCTCTTGAACGTTTTGGGGGGGAATATTGTAGTAGTACCGATCTGTGAAGGCTTGCACAGAATCTGCGAGCTTTTTGCTCCAATCTGTTGGTAGCATTACTTTATATACTCTTTCATCATGTTTTTGATGCTAAGATTTCAGTGAAAATTATGCTTTTGAATTCCTGAGAAAACAGTCATATTCCTCTATTTGCAGCTAATTCTCTTCAAAATGAATCATTAATAGTATATCTGGGAGAACACCAAGTAAAGTTATTCAGAGTTTGTTTTACATAACTTAAACCTAACTCTGAAATACGGAAAAATCCAGAAACTCTATTAAAAGCTGGATACCAGAAACCTGGCATTAGTTAAAAATTTTAGCCCTAATGTTTGTTGCACAATTTTTTATTTTTTATTTTTCTAGTTAGATTTGTAAAAAGAAAGAAACCCAAGCTAAAACCTCAAAATAGTCAACTTTCTCCAATTACTAATTCTGATCAGATCACCTGAGTACAAGTGTTAATGTATGGTATCTTGCAATTGTCTTCCAGGAAAATGGGGAAACCTTTATTTAGGTTATGTCCCTTTTGGCTTATTTATTCTTTCTTTTATTTGAATTTTTTCCATCTCCTTGGTGTTCCTTGTAGCAATGACAGTTTCAACTAGTCCAGAGGAAGCAAGAGGGAGTTAAGCCATGTGTACTGACAAAGTAGTTTGATAATAAACCATTAATTTTTACTTTACTGATGCATCCTTAGTAACTAGAACTTGCTGGATTTGAACTGTGGCTCTGTAAATTCCTAATACTACACAAATAAAATAAAACATTTAAAAAACACATAGGTTTGGTCTGTGAGGTATAATTTGAGGTCAGTCTAAATTGTTTTAATTATTTCATTATTATGCATATTAATATTCCATGGTAGGATGTATCTGCTTCTAGTGATACAGCATTTTGCAGTTTGGTTTAGGACTTTGGTACTTGACAAAGGGGTCTGTACTATAATTATGAGATGATCCCTTATTTAAAAAATATGGTTTCCAACTCTTTAGAGCAGCTGTGTTCAGTGTTAAGAATTTACATCCAGAGGCATTTAGAAATACTGCATTACTGTGACAGGGACCTATGAGATGTGGTACAACCTCTTTGCCCCCAGAACATCCCTGGATATCAGACTATATTGACACCTGCCATTTCAAACCAAATCAAACCAAACCAAGCCAAACCCACTTATTTTAAAACAACAATAGTAGGAAAAGACAAATGCTGCTTTAAGGAATCAAGTCAGGGTCAAAGAAAGTGAAAGAGACCAACTCAAAAAGGCAGAAGACCAAACTCCCATCAAATTCTCTATTTGATGACAGTCAGTAGTGTAAACTTACCTCCCAGTTTCCTACCCGTATACTTCAAACTAAAAATGGAAGAGAGATCCTTCAAGTAGATGAGAGAGGTTGGCTGTTAGAGTGTTTTCTCCACATGCTGGCCACCAAGGCTGTGACTGAGTGTCTTGACCCATCCTGCACGTAATCCCACTGGAGTCAGTGGAGTCCTACTGCAAGAATTTAGCTTGTCTCTTTCTGCTGCAATCTGCAGTAATAGCTTTCCTCATGTGGAACTGTTTATAGAAATGAGACTGAACTGGCCGCACACAAGCCAACATTATCACCTCCTAGTAACTGTGCAAAGCACAGGATGACAAGCTGCTGCTCTGTATTTTCATAACTCTGCAGTAATTAGTGCCTGGCATCTGTAATGGAAATAAAGCATAACATTAGAGTATCTACGATGACATTGTTTTCATTTTATGTTTCATTTTTCAAAGGCCAAAAAGGCAGATACACTAAAATGCCAAGGAGCCTCTTTTAATTAAAGTCCCTCTCATTTTTCCTTACTTCTTAAGCTACGCAAATGCATTGAGCCATTAAAAAGAAAGATAAAAGGAACCCCAAACACTGTTTGTATACAGTCTTTATGACTGCAGCTACTTATTTTGCAGCAGACATTATTATGACTAGAGCAGGTTATAGTGCAGTTTGACAAAACTCAAGGATGCTTTGCAGTGCTACAGAGTCAGACAGTGACTGGAAGGCTGCCTTATCTAGTTTTGGGATGTTTCACCTCACAGTATAGATCCTGCATCCAGATTTCATGCAGTGCTGTGCCAGAGGAGGCATTCTTATACCCCTGCTGCCATTAGGTTGTTTATAATCATGCTTTGGGTTGTTTGGTTGGTCCAGGTTTGGAAGGAAAAAGTAGGCTACAGCTGGTTTCCCTCTTCTGCAATGAAACTTCCACTGCTATAGCTTAATGCTCATGCTATGTATGATTGCCTACCATTGATATAATGTACTTACATAAGGTACACATCATGTACTTTCTCTTCACAGTAACAGCATATTACCTCTGGAAAATAAAAATAGCTGGCAGACAGTGAATCACAGAATGGTCTGGGTTGGAAGGGACCTTAAAGCTCATCTAGTTCCAACCCCCTGCCATGGGCAGGGACACCTTCCACTAGACCAGGTTGCTCAAAGTCCCATCCAGCCTGGCCTTGAACACTGCCAGCGGTGTGGCAGCCACAGCTTCTCTGGGCAACCTGTTCCAGTGCGTGACCACCTTCATAGTAAAGAATTTCTTCCTAATGTCTGAACTAAATCTCCCATCAGCTTAAAGCCATTCCCCCTTGTTCTGTCACTACATGCTGCTGTAAGATGTCCCTCTCCAGCTTTCTTGTGAACTCCCTTTAGGTACTGGAAGGCTGTCCCTAAGCCTTCTCTTCTACAGGCTGAACAACCCCAAGTCTCTCAGCTTGTCTCCATAGGAGAGGTGCTCCAGCCCTCTAAGCATCTTTGTGGCCCTCTAGACTCACTCAAGCATGTCCACATCTCTCTTGTGTTAGGTGCCCCAGAGCTGAATGCAGTACTGCAGGTGGGGTCTCAAGAGAATGGAGTAGAGGGGGGAAAATCACCTCCCTTGACCTGCTGGCCACACTCCTTTTGATGCAGCCCAGAACACAGCTGGCTTTCTGGGCTGAGAGTGCATGTTGCTGGGTCATAATAAGCTTCTTGTCAACCAACATCCCGAAGTCTTTCTCATCAAGACTTCTCTCAATCCATTCTCCACCCAACCTGCAGCTGTGCCTGGTATTGCCCCAAAACAGATGCAGGACCTTGCACTTGACCTTGTAGAACTTCATGAGGTTGGCATTGGCCCACCTCTCACACATGTCAAGGTGCATCTGGATGGCATCCCTTCCCTCCAGTGTGTCAATAGCACCGCACAACTTGGTGTCATCAGCAGACTTGCTGACAGTGCAGTCAATCCCACTGTTGATGTTGCCAACAAAAATGTTGAACAGCGTCGGTCCCAACACTGACCCCTGATGAACACCACTTGTCACTGATCTCCACTTGAACATAGAGCTGTTGACTACAACTCTTTGAGTGCAATCACCCAACCAATTCCTTATCCACCAAATGGCCCATCCCACAAACCCATGCCTCTACAGTCTAAAGACACTGATATTGTGGGGGATAGTGTCAAATGCCTTGCACAAGGCATGGTTCCAGTTGTCTCTGTCCAAATTGCTGGCATAAATCTCTTAGACCACTTAGCCCAGGATTTTACCTGGCAGGGCAGAGTTTGGGTGGTGGGTTTCACTGAGATAATTCAATAACCCTGGTGCTGTAGCATTTTTTGATCAGTTAGTAAAGACATTTGGTTCTATGCTTCACTGTAGATGCCGCCTGAGCTCTCAATTCCAGATTCAGCAACCAAATATGTTTAAATAAACTGATCCAAATGCTGAAGTGCTTACTCAGGCAAAAATCACTGTTTTCCTTAGATAAAGACTAATAAAAACTGAATTGGGACTTCAGAAACTGGCCCCTTAAAAGCTGGAAGACAACACTTCAGAGAAAACTAATGGAAGATCAATGCATCAGAGACAATAGACAACTTTTTTTTTTTATTTTTATTTTTTCTTATATATTATCTACAAGCACAAGCTTTCATATTTTTAATGTAAAAATGCATACAGATCATTATATATATAAAAATCAACTAGCCTCATAGCAAACTGCCAGATCCAACTATCCCCAGTTTTGGGGACAACTTGTCTGGATCCAGGTGCAAACCCAGTGGTTGATCTTCACTTCCATCTGTGGTTGCACCAAACCCCCAGATACGAAGATTCTCAAAGTTCTAGGGAAGTCTTGCTTCCTGATCCAGGTCTTGCAGCACGATCATGACTAACTCTTCATCAATTGAAGATAAATATTTAGAAACTTCATAAATGACAATCAACTTGTTGTACGTAACAAGTATCCATTTCACCTTTCCTCCCCCGTTTTGTTTACTGTCCTTCGCATCCTCTCTCCACTGAAATGATAGTGGACAGAGGAGAAGAATTTAATGTTAGTGTCATATATGTACATTTAAATAGCAGCAGTAGAAACAGAATTTAAACTGTTGATGTCTGCTGCAGAAAGGCTACTGAATGTAGGTTCATGTTGCCTTTGGCCTTTTCAATGCTTGGGCACTTTTGGGTTCAGTTTAGACATTATAGAAATATGACACATTTCTAGTATAGCCAAAAATACATTGCATCATTGTGAGCAATAGTAAATCAGATTGCTTTTAATAGTATGTAGTATGTACCAGCAGATTATAATATACTATATTATAACAGGCTTGACAAGGAGCCCATTGCACCCAAGATTAAAAAAAAAAAAAAATCAATTAAATAAAGAAATTTGTGTTTTTGTGGGAGGGAAGGTCACAAAATTGCAGTCTACTTTTTGACCAAGTATTTATCTTGTTTGGCAGTTTCCAAATTCAGTCTTTGTAAAGGAATGTTACTATTTTTATTAGAGGTTCTTTATGTAACAAGTCATGTTTGCAGAGTGGAACATTTTCTTTCACCAGGATCTTGTAATTTCTCCATACAAACATCATAAAAGAAAAAATAATTTGCTGGGATTCTTTTGGAAAGTATTAGGGCCTTAACTTAGCTTCTCCTTCCTTTCAACTCTCATAATATGAATATGATGAATTTATTTTCTCTTGTCGTTCATACCTTGCCATTTTGTGTTTTTAAATGCAGCTCAGCTCTGAAGCCCAAGAAAGGTTTTCAGATACAAGAACTGCTGAAGTTCTCTTAGAGAGGAATACACCAATTGCTTAGCACACCAACATAAAGACTTTCTTCTCAGCTATGTTGCCATGGGATTTCAGGTAAGGACTTTGTCTACTTCAGATTCATGCAACAGCACTGATTTGAAAGATAACAGAATGACTCGGTGCCTCAGCTTGCAAACCCTCACTCTGGCTCCTAATGTTGTAAGATACACATTTGCAAGTTCAGACCTTTAGCTAATGACTATTCGTGCATGAACAGGCACTACCCTTTCTTTAGCACTTGTATTGATTCTGTATTACTAATAGGACTAAAATTGGCAAAATCTCTCTCTCCTCTCTCCCACCCCAAAAGTTAAAAGATATGACAAATAGTTTGGGAACAGTTGTGTCAGAGTTCTTCCCAGAAGTACATGGTGAAGTTTCCACTGCAGTGCATCTAGTTGATGTATGCTGACATACCTGAATATGAGGACCAAAATATAGACATGGATTCCAGGGGAGTGAAATGAGTTTTCACTATCTAGAATAGGGGAAACAGAGAAAATAAACAACAGCACAAATAAAATATATGTCTGAATGTGATGTACTTTGATGCTGGTTGGGTAAAAGAAAATGTTTTCAGAAATTACTTTGGTAAAGTATCTTTAAGATAATACTTTTGAAAAAAAGCCCTGACTTGGGACTTTTCTCTGTCGACAGGGATGTAAGTGCTTGATTCTCCAGGCTACCACTTATATGACTACCTGTAACTGTATAAAGTGCTATCCAACCAGATATCCTCACTCTTCTACAGGTGTGGTTGATAGCCTTTTGGTCTTACTTCCTCACAGAGGCAAATAACCATTTAAAGTACAAAACAGAGGAGAATAAAGCTGTAAGCAGTTCCTAAAAGCGGGCTGTTCCTCAGAGGAGAATACTACTAATAATCCCATTTGTCATCCCAACCTTTGGCTGTGGTTTTACATGATGACAGTCTGAGCTGCACACCATGCTGCCTGAAGGGATGCAACACAGCTGGTGGGAGATCAGCACAATCTGAATGAAAATCTTCCATTCTTGGTTCTTGCATCTCTTAGAATACAGTTAACAAGTAGACAGGAGGCAAAACTTAACAGCTGGCTTAAATGAGATGCAGGAGAGAGAAGAAGGGAGAGTAAAAACCGGACACTTTTTACCCCAGGCACTAAAATCTGATAAAATGCACTTTCACTTCAGTGTGCCAGATAAAAGTCACAAAAACCCCTGTGCTGGTTTAAACCATAGAGTGCTTCAAGCAACATCTGAAAGTTTAAACAGCTGGGAATTATGGCCTTCTGACATGGTAGAGGTCATTCACATCTGATTTACATTTGGGCTTAGACTTTAAATTCTTCCCTTCCCAAGGATTCAATTCTGCAGTACAAAATAGAGTAAACTGAAGTAAGACCAAAACAAAATTGTAAACAAAAGCTAAAATCTACCCATAACTAAATCAAGAGTAATATGGTCATTTTTTTAGTTTGATTTCCCAACACATACACTCCCATTTCCCCAAGTACAGCACTGCACTTTGAGGGGGAAATGCTGAAATGCCACTGGACTAGCTGATTATTTCTTTATGAATTCTGCAATTTCAGAGGATCTGGAAAAGCAGCTGAACTTCAGCTCTATTGAAATGTGTGTCTTGCTGGCTGAACACTCCATGAAATAGACCTTTCCTCTATTCTTTGCATACTCTGAGAAGAACATCAGCACTCATAGATTTGACAAAAATAACAACAAGGAAAGACAGTTTGGAGTAAAAGCACACAATGCATCAATTTAGAGCTGGTGAAAGCTGTCAGATAAACTTTCTGGTACCACACAGCAGCCTTTACATGTATTCAGTCCTTGAGAACACCCGTTGTGACGGTTGTTGATCAACTGAGGGCTGAATCTTACTCTCCAATGGCTACTGAGCAGCTGGCTGGCTGGAAATGATTAGGCACTACAGACTTGCAGGGGATTGGAGCCAGCCTTGTAGAAGCAGAAGACGCTCTGTCAGTGCCAATCCCCACAATCATCTTGTCCTTTGGAGTTTTTTTTGTTTGTTTGTTTTTCTTTTCCCACATTAGCCAGAAGCAGTGTGGCTAAATACATTTCAAACCAGGAAAAAAGTCTGACCCTGTGTTACTCAAAAAAGTGGTGTGGTTTGTCTTTTTTTTTTATTTTTTTTTTTAATTGCAAAGCTTTGACCATTTTAATTAAATGTGTTCTGCTTGACTCATCCCTACTCCAAGCTAGTATGCTCTACAATGCTTCTCTGGCTTAGTACAGCTCTTTTTAGCTGCTGATTTTGGTAAGCATCTTATTAATTGCCTGCTTGACGTGGGTGGTGGAGCTCCGTCTCCGAGTCTTGCCCTGGACCATCTTTCGACGCCGTACCTCACGACAGAGCTCATAGAAGGCCTCCATAATGTTGCCCTCTCCTGTGCAAGCAGAGCACTCATAAAAAGCACATGCTAGTTCTGTGGCCAGCTTTTCACCTTCCTCTGTGCTGACCTGCCTGGAGTGATCCAAATCTGCTTTGTTCCCCACCAGGATCAGTGTGACATTTTTTGGCTTTTTAACTTCATCCAACAAGTTCTTGAGTGGCAGCACCTCCTCAAAGCTGCCTCTGTCCGTGATGTCATAAACCAGCACAAAGCCTTCACCCCATCGCACATGTCCTTCTTTCTGAATAGCATCCTCCTGTTTTGAAAAGACAGATACCAACCTTAGGAATTTGATTTATGAAGAACACACCAAGCCTGCAGACCAATGTTGGTCCTCCAAAGCCTACAAAGCCATGTACACCTGCTTTACTTTATGCACATCATCTTTTTTATCATGTAGTGTAGGAGAACTACTCTACCAAGGTGTCATGGGCTGCCTGTTGACAGGCTGGAAGCAGGCAATTGGAAGAGGGTCTCTGCTGAATGATACCCAACACACAAACTGTATAGGCCAGAGCAGTGTGAGCACCTGCCATGTTTTGAAATGAAGGGGAGACCTGGCTATGACAAAACTGCTCTTCACTTTGATGGGAATCACTGACTGATGCTGTCAAGCCTCATCACTTGACTGTAGAAATAGACTGTGCATAATAATAACAATACATTGTTGGGTTGACCCTGAATCACGAAATGAGAACAAAATTATTTTAATCCCAGAGTACACCCTGACTTGTTTGCTCTTCTAGTGTTTGAAAATGAAGCAGGGTCCGTTGCAGACGGGTCTGGATCCAGCATTCTGAGTGCAGCAGCAAGCCGATGGTGGTGGAGGGGGGAGACTGCTCAGAAACAAATCTCTGACCCCAGAAGTGAAGCACATCTGCCACCCACCACCGCACTCCCCTTCCCTGCTGTCTATCGAAGCCCAGGTATTGGATAATAGCACCCACACACCTGACCAGCTGTATCTAGTATCTCCATGGAAACCACTTCATCGTCAATGGTAGCTTGGTGACGATATGTAGACTCTAAAATAAGAACACATTTTGTGAAACATTTTAAAAGAAGGTTTTGGGTTTTTTTTATCTTCTTTACAGCTACCCCAGCACAAGACCTGAAATGTGACATATAGTTTCACTAAACTAAATATTAGAGACAGTCATTCTGGAGTAAGTCGTCCTTTCTATAACTGTGACTCTTTTACCCCCCTCCATATGGCAAAACTTTTTTCTTCCTACATTTTACACCTTCAGAAGGTTGTGCCTGTGGATGCTTCACTTTGTGCCCAACAAAAGGAAAGAATTTCCTGCAGCAAAGAGCTCTGGAAGACTGCAGCCCATTTTCCATGTTTGTTGATAGGGAAGGCTGCCACCTATGAAACATAACTACCACTACTCTCAAAGTATCCAGCTCAACAGCCTGTCAATGCATAGCTTGAAGTCTCAAGATCAAAACCAGTATGGTTGCAGAACAGGGAACCTAACCACTAAGTCAAGCCTTATACTGTGATAAAATTACAGACCAGTTAGCTATTTTAGGAATGTCTCTGAAACATGCTGAATTCATCACATTCCCCTCTTCTAGCAAGGGCTCAAGCAGTGATTTCCCTCTCTATGATTTATAAGGATAACCAGTGGGCATTAAGCATTCACACTATGCTACAGAAAAAAAAGGAACATATTTACTGTGTCCCATGTTCTGGAACCAGACAACTAATCAGAAAGCTAATGACAAAAGGACTTCTTTTATCTTAATGAACTGATAAGTTAAATTTGATAGCATTTGACCTAAAACCTGGAAAATTATTTGTGCTAACAGTGGGATTTATTACTGTTGCTAGCTCACAGATGTCCTGTATCACAAGGCAAATGCGTATGCTGTAAAATTGTGGCCAATGACTATGACTGCTTTGCATTGTCAGAGACACAATTCTTTTATTTGGTGCAAATCTCCTCGAAGGGTATCTTTAAGGAAACACATTTCTTTAATTTGAACTTCTGAAAGGGCTCATGTTTGGTGAATGCTTTTTTCATTATGTACTTATCACTTCTTGATGATCATGAATGTTTCAATGCTGTCAGTGCTGCGAACAACTCTCTTCCCAAACCAAAAATATCTCTTCCCTCCTGTGCCACCTTAATTGCTTTAAGTAGCACAGCTGCCTCTAGTAGGGACAAATGGTCAATTTAGTTAGGCAGATGGCAAGCAATCTTGCTGTAGGGTTTCAAGCAGTGAAGACTAGTTTTTAAAGGCTGCAAATACCCCTTCTGTTTAGTGTTACAAAGCTGTTGAAGGAGATGGAGTTATACCTTTGTGATCCTGGGGCTATACCTACATGTCAGAGTAAGATACATGTAAATGGACAATAGGACAAGGGGTAATGGGTTAAAACTTAAACAGGGGAAGTTTAGATTGGATATAAGGAGGAAATTCTTTCCTGTTAGGGTGGTGGGGCACTGGAATAGGTTGCCCACGGAGGTTGTGAATGCTCCATCCCTGGCAGTGTTCAAGACCAGGTTGGACGAAGCCTTGGGTGAGATGGTTTAGTGTGAGGTGTCCCTGCCCATGGCAGGGGGGTTGGAACTTGATGATCTTAAGGTCCTTTCCAACCCTATCTATTCTATGATTCTAAATCTCAGTGGTATGTCTTATTCCACCCTTCTGTTCACCCTCCTGGCTCCAGTAACTTCCTCAGGGGAATGCAGGAAGGGCAGGAACACTAGTTTGGTGTGGAAGTTGTAGTGATGCACCTTCAACAATTTATTTTAGCTCCCTCTGCAGCACCCCATGTCCAAGGTGATTTAGGAACTTACGGTTTGTTTCTTCTGGGGGAAGAGCGCTGTGAAAAGAGATGGCCCTCTGCCTGAGTAATGTGATATTAGCTCCTTACTTGTTTAGGCCTTGCAATGCTTAAATGCTTTCGGCCATCTGGCCCTGCTTGACAAGTAGGTGTTGAGAACTGGTCCACACAACTTGAGAAAGTGCCCATCCAACCATGTCTGCTGTGTATCTGTGAAATGTCCTTAGAGTGCAGTAGGCCATATGGCCCTCCCCATGAAATGGGAGACTAAATCCCAAGGAGTAGACTTGAGCTTGCTGCAGAAGAGCAGCATGATTCTTAAATGGTACTTGAGTTCTCAATAAAAGGACTCTGGCACTTCATGGTGCAAGTTTAATTCCCCTTGACCACTCACACTGGGATGGAATTTGATCCTGGAGGAGTAGCACTTATTTTGGTCAGGTTAGTGTAAATAAATCTTAGTAAATGTGTGTCTGTTCTTGTGCTTTGGAATGTGTGGTAGCTGGGTGAATTTTAATGAGTGTAAAACAGCTGGATGTTTAAATCATTTAGTGGTGTAATCACAGACATGGCTTCTCCTTCAGGAGTGCAGAAATGTGAAGAAACTGATTGTCCTGTAAGTTATGAGCCCTGAAGTTGTGATTTCTGGTCCGTTCACATCAATATCATGGTACTATAAAAATGCACTGCCTTGCTTTGGGATTTATTAATATTATTTTATCGTTTTCCCTGTGGCACTTTATTTTTTTGTTTGTTTTTTAGACATGCAGCTAGAGAGAAACTAGATGACCTGAGATACCTGCTGGATCCCTAATTGAAGCCATTGATAACATAGGTGTCTATGTCTCAGCTAAGCACCTAGTTTCCTATTAGAGTTGATAAAGTGAAATAGATGCTGGGTATAGTTTGTCTGATCTCCCTCCTGGGATAAAATTGCACGTCAAAAGCACTTAGAAGTCTAAAATTGGCCAGATGAATCCAGGCTGTAAATGCCTTATGCTTTTATCATCATGTCAAGTAGAAAAAGCAAAGTGTAGCACTTTACCAGTGGCTCCCAAGATGACTGTAAGCAACTTTCTGAGCTTCAGACTGTCATTTGCATCAGGTGATACCTATACATTACATTTATATGTATATGGCTAAAACCCCATAGTTAGAAAGGAAACCACAGAGTAGTATTTTGTTCTTCAAACTCAGTGTCAAAACTTCTAGCCTCAAAGCAGAGTTAGGGAGGTGCTGCTGCTGACTTGAGCATAGTGTACCTGGTGTGCTGCGAGTGCTATGGAAATAGCCACATTTGGTGGTTTTCTCTGCTTCAATGTAAGGAAATCTGTCCCATTCTTGTTAGTTTCAGTGTATGCTATGCTTCTAGTAATATTCCAAATAACAAGATCAAAGGTGCTGGTAAGTGTGGCTTTGAAAGTTGATGCCAGATTTCAGGGTTCCACTTGGTTATAAAGCTGCAATCCCCCAGCATTCTTGCTGTGTGAAGCACTCTTGGTTCTCACAGTCCTTTTGTTTGAAACATTGAAGTTTATTCCAGGAAGCTTTAGAGCTGGTTTGGTTTTAAGCCTATAATATACTGCCACAATCATTCATTACTAGGAACTGGATAAAATTTTCAAATTACCACAGCTGTTGAATAATATGGAAACAATGATCTTCATTTATTTAATTATTTATTGGGGGCGATTAAATTAAAAAATCCTTGGGCTCTGTGTTGATAATCATGTTACGAATCTTCCTATTCTGAGCAATACATTTAAAAAAAAAAAAAAGAAAAAATTACTAAACTTACATAAAGAAAACTTTGAAGCCCATAATTCATAATCTGCCCATGGATATGATATTCAGTCACAGCTTGACCACATCACATCATTGTGCTATGCTTATTATGACATATTTAATAAAGTTTTTGCCTATAAGACTTAACTGGTTATTTACCAAACCTATTTGTGGGGGACTATTCTGATCTCTTGAATATAACTGTTCCAGAAGATTATATTTTTTAGAAAAAAAACTAGTATCTGAAAAGTAACTAGTTCTTGGTTTGTATTTGCAGTGATACAGAAAGCTGTACTGATGTAAAAAGCTGTTTTCAGTACTTGTTTATTTTGAACAGGCAGTATGTATCGGGGATATCGGGGTATGTCACAGCTCTGTGAGGAAAAGGTTTGCATTGGAAAGGTTTACTGCTTTTAGGAAAACACTTGTTGTAGGAGTAGGTAGATCAGCCATGATGGAACAATGACATACACCATTTTACAGGTAAATTGAAGTATCAGCCTGGCCTCTCTTGTTTTCCTTTAAGTAGAGGGACAGTAACTTTGTTTCCATTCGTTCATTTTTGTCAAGAAAGGGTAATAAAACAAGGAAATAGAAAAATGCTCTAAGGAACTTTGGTCTCATGGTGGCTTTCAGCCAGCTGGATCTGAGAACTGCAAGTGACCTAGAGAAAGAGCTTTTGTGTAATAATTATAGCTGAGTTTCTAGGCCAAAAGGATTCAGCTAATAGGCATGAACTTCTAAGTCATAGTTAAAATCTTGTTGGATGGCAGTGGATCAGTATGCTTAAAAGACTAAAATTTATCATAATTATTTCTGGTTAAAGGTTCCTGTTGTTTGTTTGGTTTTGTTTTTTTTAAATAAATTTTGTGCTCACTTAGACTCCCCCAGTCCTTTACATCCACCAGGATGGCACCTGTCTATCACATTTGAGAACAGCACATTTGACAGCCCGCTGGGAAAACATTTACCTTCATTACTAACTCTGGTGCTGTTTGATATGTTCTCCTGAGACTTCCTTGAGCTTGCCTCTGAGAAGTCTATCCCCTTGCTGCATTTCCTTGCTGTGTCAGGAACTTTTCACCTTTTAGAAAGCCCTGCAAGTTGAATATATGTTCCTGACTCAAAGTCTCTCCTGCCTTCTTCCTTCCCCCATCCCAGCTCTTCTCAAAATTCAGCTAAATGTATTTTTCTTGCTTCCATCTGCCTGTTACTTACTCCATCCATTATTTATCTTACAGGAGGGTTTTTATTTTGCAACTATCAGTGGTTTTTACAGTAAGCACAGTACTGCCTTTGTGTATTTAGAATGCATTTCTAATGCTAATGCAGTGTATCCCCACGTGTTTATTAACTGATACTGCAGGCCCAAACATAAGCTTAGTTGGGTTATTTATTAGTAATACCATCAAATGATATGCCATGTATTGTACTGCCATCATT